GACCAAAAAATGGGCGAAAAATGGGCGAAATGGGCCAAAATTTATATCTCAATATTTTTAAGATAAATCACGATATACGATATATATCTCAATATTTTTTCTTTTCATAAAGTAATAACAAAAATATATTTCTGAGTAAAAGTTTTGTCCCACTTCTCACACAGCCACATTTATTAACAACAGCTGTAACTGTGCAAAATAAATGCCAAAAAATTAACTATTGACATATACTAAATAGTTATTTTTTTAGACATTTATTTACAAATATTAAATAATAATCCTCTTCAGCCGGGGGCAGCTGTCGCTGAGAGGCTAAAGCAGTCGTCCTCCAATGGGAGAGTTGGGGGTTTGATTCCACCAGCAGTCACCTGCGTGTTCCTGAGTGAGACACTGAACCCGTTGCCTCCGATGTGTGTGCCATCGGTGTCTGAATGTGATAAAGCTCTGATTAGTCTTTGTAGAGATCTAGTATAGAGCTGTATGAATGGGTAAATGAGGCACAGATTGTTGTAAAGAGCTTTGAGTGTCTTGATAAGACAAAGTCTCTATATAAGTACAGTCCATTCAGCTGCGCCGCCTTCACGTTAGTAAGTGTGTGTGAAGCTGCAGCTCCGACAGACATGACTCCTTCCTTGAAACAAACCACGGTTCAGAGCTCATCTAGCCGTGCTGTGCCTTTTACAGGAACACAGAGAGGAAGTGCAACATTAATAAATCAGCAGCTTTATCATATCGCTAAGACACGGTCCCGTCTCAGCTGTGGAACAAGACGGCTCAAGCGTTAGCCGCTTGTTAGCCGCTTGTTAGTCGCAAGGAGCGTATCTTTAGCGATACGATAAACTGCTGATTTATTCATGTTACACTCTGTGTTCCTGTAAAAGGCACAGCACGGCTAGATGAGCTTTGAACCGTGGTTCGTTTCAAGGAAGGAGTCAGGTCTGTCGGAGCTGCAGCTTCACACACGCTCAGCTGCTCGTGTTTACTTCTGCTCAACGCCTCCTCTCCTCCTGCCCACCTCCTGGAGAAGCAGGAAGGGGAGGGGGAGCGCGGCTGAGGCGCTCCTCCTTCAGCTCTAACTGAGAGGCATCATCTCTACCAGCTGAGCCACCCATTCATCGATGGGTTTTAAAAATCACATCGCAGCTCTGAGTTGGATCTGCCTAAAGACGGCCGACCCTACAGGCCACGATTCTCACT